TGCACTCCTCCAGGATAGCCTGGAAACGGGCTTGACCTTGCTGGGGGAGTTTGTCAGTAAAGTCTTCCAATTTACTATAGTTGAGAGTCATATTTGTAGTTTGAGATCTGAAATTGGAGGCTAGCTGATGAGAAGACCTTGCGACCCAGAAGGTCCAGTCGCTTCCCTCGTCTGCCAGGGTGCAGTGTGAGTGCTGCTGCCTGGCCTATTCCATTGCCACTTGGATCACAATGGAATTGGGTGAGGAGTGGGACAATAGAAACTCAGACCCCTTAGCTGTAGGTACAGTAACTCCTCGCTTAACGTTGTAGTTATGTTCCTGAATAATGCTACTTTAGGTGAAACAATGTTAAGGAAATCTAATTTCCCCATAAGAATTAATGTAAGCGGGGGGGGGGGGGAGGATTAGGTTCCAGTGTTACATACACACACAGTATTAGTTTTAAACAATTTAATACTGTACACAGTAATGAGGATTGTGACGCTTGGTTGAGGTGGAGGAGTCAGAGGATGGGATATTTCCCAGGAAATGCCTTGTGGCTAAAATGATGAACTAGCACTCGGCTGAGCTGTCAAGGGTTAACACGTTGTTAATGTAGTCTCACACTCTACAAGGCAGCGTGAATAGAGGGAGGAGACACAAACGCATGACAGTGGCTGCAAACATTCCCTGCGGAAACTGAACGGGATGAACCACCCACGCTATCCCAATGGAGCGCACCATTCCCTCCACTTTCCAAAGTGCCGTGTGTGTGTGTGTGTGTGTGTGTGTGTGTGTGTTGCGTATTGCCCCTTTAAGTACTCTGACCCCACTCTAAGTACACTGCCTTTTTAAATAGATCAGCAAGTTGAGACAGCAGCTGCTGCCAGCAAGCTCCCTCTGTCCTGAGCCCTGTTGTGTGTCCCCCATGCTCTGTGGAGATGGGGTACAGGAGCAGGGGGAGAGGGACACCCTCACATCAGCATCCCTCTTCCCCCCATCCCCTGCACAGCAAGCAGGAGGCTCCCGGGAACAGCACATGGCAATGGGAGGGGGGACACCTGAACTGCCCGGCAATTGATAGCCTGCTGAGCGGCTGCCACACAGGGAACTTAGGGGAGCCAATGGGGGGCTGCCAGACCACCCTGGTTCCAAGCCCCCACCAGCTCGCTGCAACAGGCTGCTCTTCCTGCAAGCAGTGGACAGAGCAGGTGGCTGCCAAACAAGGGAGCATTGCACAACTTTAAACGAGCATGTTCTCTAATAGATCAGCAACGTAACAGCGAAACATTAACCGGGACGGCGTTAAGCGAGGAGTTACTGTAGTACTGCTTTTCCGCCCCCTTGGAGGCAGGTGCACAAGTGGCTGGGGTGTGCCAAACAGTTCCAGCCAGCTGAAGAATGGCATTGTTGATTGGTAGAGCCACCCTGGTTGGTGCTGAGGCCTGAAGGATGCCCAGAAACTGGCGCTGTTTGTCCTGTACTTCCTCTAGTGGAATATGAAGGTCCTCACCCCCCCCACCTAGGAGGTCTTAGAACTGGCGAAAGTCACCTGGAGGTGAGGGGGAGCCAAGATCACTGCTGTGTTTGGAGGAGAGGACGGAAATAGTCCCTGCTGTGGAATCAGCACCAGTGGAATCAGACGGAGAGGTTCATCCTGCAAAACCAGTTCTGACCACCTACTCAAGGATGTCTGAAGCGGGGATGGGGCAAACCCTCTCTTGCTGAATGGGAAGATACTGAAGGTGGATAATATTGAGGCCAGGACCCATAGTGTGGCCAACGGGATGGATCCAGCAGATGCTGCAGAGGGTCCCATGGAGTGGGTTACCAGTGGCTTCTCTGCTGGGGGAGAGGAGGGTACTGCCAGGAGGCCCCTTCGTGTAACTCGTAGTGGCAGCAGTGGATGGGTGGCCGTTGTGCTCCATCCATATCCTCTGATGATGAAAACTAGGATTCCGGTTCCAAAGCTGGTATTGTTGGAACCCTATAAACTAGTGGTTCTCAACCAGGGTCTGGGGCTCCTGTGGGGTGGGGGTGGGGGGGACGGGACACGGGGGGACGACGACACACGACCCGCATGCTGGTTTGAGGGGGTCCACTAAGTATGGCTGGCGTTAGACTTGTTAGGGCCCAGGGCAGAAAGCTGAAGCCCCACCATGAAGGACTGCAGCCTGGGGCCCTGAGTTCCAGCACCTGGGGCTGAAGCTGAAGCCTAAGCAACTTAGTTTCGCAATTGCTTGTGGCATGGGCCACCGGGCAATGGCCCTGCTTCCTCCCCCTTAATGCCAGCTGTAGATTTTATATGGAGGAAAACAGCTGTGGCACAAGCGGGCCGTGGAGATTTTGCAGCATGTTGTGGGGGCCTCAGAAAGAAAATGGTTGAGAACCCCTGCTATAAACTACAGGGGAAAGGACAGAAGCACGATCTGACTGAGGTAAGTCCTGGGTTGGAAATTGTACCTCCCTAGGCACAGACTGTAGAGGAAGGCTTAGGATCTTGCTTCCCCTAGAGCAAAGAGTTCATGAGGCCCAGACACCATCTCCAACCTCTCCAGAGTCAGTGGCATGTGCTCTGTAGCTGGAAGGGGAGCTGGAGCGGAGGACAGTTTCAAAGCCGCCAGTTCCCTTGACTTAGGGCGGGCTGACTCAGAAGGCGTGTGCATCTCGGTGCTCGGTACTGGCCAATCTGCTAGCCTGTGTGATTTCTTGTCAAGCTTGTGAGCCTTGGAACGCACTGCTTCTCCGTGGCTGGAACTTGTGGAGGGTGCATCCTCCTCCTTGGGCCTGGAGGAAAACTTACTGCGTGCATATGGCGTATGCTTTCTTGCCTCTTGAGTAGGCCCCAGCACGGGGTCCGTAGTACTGGCAGAACTGGACTCTATCTCGGTGGTGAGAGACGCGTTCTTGGGTTTCTCAGGCTGATGTACAGCGGGGGTGCCCTGGCCTGGATCTCACTGCAGCCACATGGAGACCTCCATGAGGTGCTTCTTGAGGCAGAGATCCCGGCCTTCCTGGTTACTGCTTGGGAAGGACAAGCAGATGCTACACCTGGATGAAAAGTGGGCTTCTCCCAAGCAGTAGAGGCAGCGTTGTTGCTCGTTGCTGACTGAGAACAAGCGTGGGCAGGAGGTGCAGACCTTAAACCCTGGCGTCTTTGGTATAATCCAGTATAGGTATGGGTGCTGGGTTGGGGTGGAGGGACAGGTAAATGGATTCCCCAGTCTCTTATCTCCTAAAAACTACTACTAGACACTAAACTACAGTAAAAACTAGGCTAAAACCAACTATGTACAGTTCTAATTTTTTCTTTTCTTTTTTTAGTAGGTATGACTCAGACCAAGTGGCAGTGAAAAGGAACTGGAGATGCGGTCAGTCTGCCTCGCCCTTTGTCACCTCAGACAAACCGTAAGGCAAAGCAAGGGCGTATGCATGGGCCAACTGACACTACTTTCAAATTCTCCAGCTCCGGACGCATAGCACATACATAAACCCTCAGTGGAATACAATAGGGACCATCACTTGAAGAAGAAGAGATGTTACAGCAGATACATCAGGAGCAGGGGACGGGAAGCAGGGAGAGAAATGTTGTGATCTCTCTCTTCGGAAATCTCTGCAGCAACCCTTGCCATAACACTCCTGCCAATCCCCCTCAAGCCCGGCCTGCAGGATTCATTGCTATTCCAGGAGCTAAGAACTTCACATGTTTACACTGCAGATGTACATGTGATGTGTACATGTGCAGATGTGATGTACACTGCAGATGTTTACACTGTAGCTGGCAGTGCTACTTACCGGTAGCACTGCCAGCTTTCCTATCTGTGGCCTTATTAATAGCCAGCCATCCCCCAAACCCTATTGGAGCCCTGAGGCTCCGCTCCCACCGTACAACCCTACGCTCAAGTTTCCACAGCAGACACCATCCTGCTTTAGAACTGGGCAGATATTCCCTCCAGAGCACATCACCACTTCTTAACCAGCCCCAAGGATTGCTACTGAGAGACATGAAGTACTCCCTTTCCCCAGGAGTGGTGCACAGAGCTTCTTCTACACACGTGGTCTCTGGTGGCACAGAAAGCCAAAGCCAAGGGATGTTTCTCCTCTGCCTAGCTGTTGGTATAGTCATTGACACCGGAGGACAGTGGGGTGTAAATCAGAACTCCCCAATCACTCACACAAGGGGCAGCATCACGCACCCACACACAAGGTATAAAGCAGTGAAGAATCAGGCTCTGGGAATTTAACCCCACCTGCAACATAGAACACTGAGGGCTTGGCTACACTTGCGAGTTAGAGCGCATTAAAGCAGCCCCAGGTGCCCTAGCTCACTACCCGTCCACACTGGCAAGGCACGTAGAGCGCTCTGACTCCACAACCTGGTACTCCCCCTTGGCGAGAAGGTTAACGCTTGTTGCGCCTTGGCTGAAATACCCGGGGGTCAGCGTGAATGAGGTGTTGCATTACTGCGCTTTGATCAGCCTCTGGAAACGCCCCATTATCTCCTTAAGTCAAGTGGCTACTCTTTTCACGGTTTTGGAATCGCTGCAGGAATGCGGATATTCCCTTTGAAAGCTCTGTTTCTGACAGCCAGCATGCTTATCTGCTCCAGGACAATGCAACCATTACTGTGGAATGCTGTGTGTGAGAGAGAGGGGGGTGGGGTGGGCAAGGTGTGTGTGTGATGCTGTCTGAACTTACAAGACAGTGTGCTGACATGCTCTCAGCCCCTCAAAAAAACTCACTCTCTCCCCTCACATACACTTGTAGCCAAGCCAGTACGCTTGTAGCTGTCAGTGTTGGACCAATTGCAGTGCTTTCCCTATTGCACTCTGCGAAGGCTCGTTTAACTCAAAGTGCTCGACATCTGCAAGTGTAGCCATGCCCTGAGTTACTGAGGACCAAAGACAAAGCTGGAAGTCAAGTCATGGGCAAAGTGAAGTCCTAACTTTCCTCAGTGTCTCAGCTGGCCCCAATCCAGTGGCACTCAGTAATTTTAATCTGCACCTGGGATCTCACCCACCTCCTGCACTTTCTGCAGAAGTGCCACAATATTAGTCCTCAGCTTCTGCAGTTTCTCCTCTGTCTCCTTAAGTTTTCTCTCTGAGCTGCGGAGGTTTTCCTCACAGGCTTTGGCGCGGGCGTCAGCACGAGTCTGATAGGAATTACACAAGTTCTGCAGACCCATCTCGTACTGTTTGAAATATTCTTTCTGTGGGCAGACGAAAAAGTGAGTCAATACCCTGTGACAAGGGGCAAGATCAAGAAACACCAAAGGCCCACCCCCAGCAGCATTCCCCCAACAGCTGCAATCTGCCAATAGTAATGAAGGGAACTCCAGATGCCAACCTCTGATACTGACAGGAAAACAACAGAAAGTCACCAATTAGACTGTTCATTTCTGGCTTTTACCACAAAACGTTAGACAGACAGGCTGCCCTGTCCCCCAAGAGCAGAGCCCAAAGCTCAGAGATGGACTCTAACGTGTACCCTCCCTCTGTCTGCGGCCACAGAGTCCCATACACCCTGCTCCCACCACTCCATTATGGTTTCCTCCCTGATTTACTGGTAGAAGTATCTAGGCAGAGCTAAAATGAAGTTGATTTGCCTCTCAAAGGACACCACTCCTTTTATTTTAGCATCTGTTCACCATCCATCCCATTTGTTTGCATTATAAAAACTGTGCCTTCATTTGCCTGATTTAAAAAAAAAAAAAGAAAAAAGATGGGTGGAAAAACCCTGAGCAAATCCAGTAATAAAACCGAAAACTTTGTTTCACAGGCTAGTTAAGGTTGCCTTGTGACAACAACGTCCTAGCATTTCTAAACTTGAGCAGCATGACCCTCAGTGGATCATAAGAGGCACTTGCTGGCTCACACTCCATCCATTGACAGAGGGATGAGGAGAGGAAGAAATCAGCAGAACTCCATGATCGTTCACCATTTGGCATCCCAACAGATCTCTGAAGAGCTATGATTTGATAAAATAAACATTGTGTCCACATTTCCTCAAGAGGATGAACACTCCTGGGGATTGGTTCTGCTTTGAGCAGGGGGTTGGACTAGATGACCTCCTGAGATCCCTTCCAGCCCTGATATTCTACGATTCCAGAAACATCCATTTGATCCCTCTACTCCCAAAGCAGAGAAACCCAGGACCTGAAAATTTTCCATTTGTAGACCCAGCACAAGTTTAGTGTAAAAGAGAAGCACTGAACTCACCAGAGGAAAAGCCATCAATTCTTCTGAACTCATGGAACTCAGCTCTTTCTTGGAGATGGGAAAATTTGGAGGTAAGAAGTACCGCAAACAATTCCTACCCAAGAGAAAACAAGCAGCCACAAATAGAGTTTAAAGTCTTGTTTGGAGACTGAAATACTCAGAAATCATAACTGCTGTGAGCACCAAATAAACCCACCGGAGTGTCTGGACTAGCAAATCCACAGTCTCCTGGTTGCTGCTGGGACCGGTGGTGTCTGGCTCAATTCGGGCGCAGTCTGAGGTAGAAGGCTCAGCTGCAACCTCCTCTTCCTGCTGTGTATCTGGACTCTGATACTCTGGAGAGGGAGGCTTCATCAACCGTACATCCTCACTGCCCTTCTCTACCCTAGGGGGGTAGCAGGGAGTCACATACAGCCTTCTCCAGACTACCCAGACCCTGTTAGTAGCCCCTGCCGCAGATCCCCCGTCACTCTGACAACAGCTCCTAGATTACACTGCTTCTTCCAGAGCCACCCCCTACATACAGATGCCTGTTCCCTTCACAATCACAGAGCAGCCTTCTCCAAACATTCCCGTGTACACAACCTTCCCAACGTAAGAATGGATTATTCCTCTCCTCAGCACCTGTGAAAAGCTAACAGGGTCCCACCTCTCCTCCCTGTTGAAGGGGGAGCATCTCCAGAGCCCCCGCAGCCAAAGATAATGGTTAATTACCAGCGATCTCTTGGTGTGGTGTCTGTAGGTACGTAATCGAATTTCACCTTCCAGCGTATGGCATGCTTGCCCATCTCCACAGCTGTGACACGGCCTGTGAACCATTCCTTGTTCACTCGTACCTCCACATGCAGCCCTTTGTCTGAGACACAGAAGGGCAGGTGTTAGGGGGTTTGGACTGACGCTGAAAGCACATTTCACTCAGCTTTTTCCGGAGGGAAGCTCATGCTTCCTCAGTACTCTGCTGGGAATGAACCTAAATTTACGGAGGCTAAGCTCCCGAGCTTCCCAGGTGTGGGGCAGGAAAGACTTACAGATGGAGCAATAAAGGCATCTCTGATGCTTGTCGCTCACAGAGAATGAGCACGGCCAGGAAACACAGTTCTTAAACCCCAGAATGCAGGGCATAGTCCCAGCGGAAGAAAGGTCCCCAGAGAGAAACTAATGCTAACTAACTTACTAATTAATCTATAATAACTATATACCCTAGCAACAACTACATACACCTACCTACACAAACGGACAAGGTCACACTCTTAGTCAAGCTCAAAGTGCTAAGGAACAGGGATTCCTATTCAGGCCACGCAGCGGTAAGAGGGAATTGGAGAAGCACCAACCTGCACAACTTATTATCCCCTCAGCAGCGAGCACAAGGGGACACATGACGCATGTGCGGGTCAACGGACACTCCTAAGGAAAGCTTCCAGGCTCTGGCACATGGCACGCATGCACACCCACATATGGAATACATACAGTGACCATCACTCAAAGAAGAACCTAGAGTTGTCACCACCCTTCACGTGTCCTGGGAATGGGACATGAGTCACTCCCCTTTGTGGAAGTTTTTCTTGTAACCCACAACAGGGATGGGACTGCCTGGGAACAAGTGAGGGGGCTATACTCCACAGACAGCCCTGCTGACTCTCTGCTGCAGTACACCACAAACAAGGGAGACTCACGGATTCATGCAATGAGGCCCAAAGCCTCCTTCACCGTTAATATAAATGTGCAGCCCAGAGATTACAGGTCCCAGCATGCCATATTTCAGCACTATCAAAGCAACCTTGGCCACGATCAGTTAAACTGTATGTAAATTCCTTGGGGTTGGAAAAAACATGGTCACTTCTGGCACAAACATGGTAACTCGAGTTTAATGGGTTGCTCCTCACCTTTTTGGGCTCTTTTCAGATCTGCCAGCTCCTCTTCCCCTGCACTGTCTGTGAGCTGTAAGCATAAAGAGCTCATGTTAGCCATCTCCCAGGAAGATCATGAGAGCTCACTAGCTCCCTTCCTGCCAGAGGGAACTCACTGCAATCCTCACCTCAACCACCACCTCGTTTGAGTCCTTCTTCTCCTCTTTCACTACCACTAATTTGCCCCGTTTCGTTCTCTCCTTCTTCTGCTCCGCTTCCTCCTCAGCTCCATCCTCCATGGTGTTAAATGTCCTCTTGCGGATGCTGGAGGCCTGCTGAGAGCAAGTGATTTCTGGCTGAATCTCAAGAATGCCACCAACCATCCATTTCAAGGGGGTAGGCTTTCAGACGAGCTCAGTGCCTCTACAGCCGCCTAAACAAAGGAGCCAGGGTTTCAAAAGAGCTCAGCACCCAACAGCTCCGGTTAAGAACAATGGGAGCAGCTGGATGCAGAGCCATTTTGAAAATCTGACCATAAGACTTTCTACAGAAGGTCCTAGCACATATATATCACACATATATCCATCCCATGCCACAAGGGATAGCCACAAATACCACCAGTATCCATCACCATGAACCTGTTGTCATGTTTCTACCCCATGCAGGGAAATCACTGGGGTCTCACACGAAGCAGCTGGGGCAAGTGATCCCTCTAAGGATAGATCGTTGAGCTCTCACCTAGCACAGTACAGTTCTTCCAACCTATGCAGTTACTATAGTGTGTGGGGGAGGGGTCTCTCACAGCTGAAGGTGAGGAAGATGCTGGGTAAACACTGGGTTTGTCCAGGTTGAGGGGTAGAGCTTTGATGATTTCCCGTCCTACCAAATAATGGACTCACCTGTGGAGGTTTGAGTGCTGCAGGTTTTTTCAGCACCGGTGTCTTTATAATTTTGGGGCTGGGAGTCTCACGCTGGCTCATGGAGTTCTGCAGAAGCATGGGGGGTGGCCTCCCAACATGGATCGGTTTGGCAGGAGTCCTGACAACTGTGCTGTTGGACTTTCCTGCAGTCACGATATGCTGCTGTGTCCTGGAAGTACTAGCTTCCTCCCTGGACAGCACACTTGCCAGTTTGGGGGCGCTGATGGCTGGCCGAGCCAGGGGGGCCTTTCGCAGTTGGCTGATGGACTTGGGGGGAGGCGGCGGCCTGCTGGGAGCATTTTTAATTACATCGGGTAAAGGAGGAGATCGCGGGCGTTGAGGTCTGCTCAGTGATTGGGAGTCCTGGGAGAAGAGAGAGAGCACAGGAGAGAGGAAGAATAAAGAGTCAGGAATTGCTCACAGAATAGTTCAGTATGGCACTGGAGCATACAGGTCTGCAGCAGTACAGGAGCTGTGGTACTTACCTCCACGACAGGCCGCGTGGTCACTTCCAGAGGTAATTTCTTCAGGTCAGCTTGGGACCGGATTGGAGTAGTTTTCTGAGGTAAAAACAGGAACACGGTCATTTTAAAAGCTGTCAGTGTTTCCCTAAAACCCAACATTAGCAGGTGGTGATCATGCTGGGGAATGTTAAACGGGTTCTGCTGGCTCACTAAGGCAGGTGGCTCACTCCCGCATCGAACCATAAAAAAAAAAGGGGGGGAGCAGCCCAATAAAGAGAGGACATAGGCTGTGGGCTGAGCAGTCCAAAGGGAGGAGTCCAAAAAGAAGTGAAGCCTGAAGTCTGAGCTAAACTTTGTTTTACTGCTGCTCATTTTTTTAACTAAAATAAACCCCAGGAGGTGTGAGGAACAGGATTTGGACTCTAGGCAGCATATGTTCTCCAGTTCGTCCATGATGCCTCCATCGTCCAATTATTAAATTTTCAAATAAGCACCTTCATGCTTTCTCCTGTGCTGACCCTCACACGTGGGAGGAACTCCCCATAAACATCCACAAAACAAATGCACTAACCTCCTTCAAAACACTCCTTAACATTCTCTTTTTCCATTATGCCTACAAAAAAATTTACAGTGGCTAGTCTGCTGGTATGCTGAGGCTACTGCCTATCATGCTGACGACTACTGTCGTTTCCTTGTACTCTCTAGTCTATCTGCATCTATCTGTTGTCTTGTCTTATACCTAGATGGGAATTTCCTTGGGGGAAGTGAATGTCTTTTTGTTTTGTTTGTACACAGCCTAGCACAAGGGGGCGAGACTATGACTAGGGCTCCTAAGCACTACAGTAATACAAATAAAATGAGAGAGGGTTGAGAAAGACATTTAACTCAGCAAAATTCATTTGCCCAAGGAGGCATCTCAGATTCTCTCCACCATGCTCAGCTCTAGGTCTCTAGATTCACCTGCAGAGCCTCCAGTTTCTCCTGCTGCTGGCGAATTTTCTCCGTCAGCTGCTTCTGCTTCTCCTCTTGTGATCTGATGTCTTTTTTCAGTGTTCCCAGGGGTACCTTCTGCTTCTGCTCTGAAGCTTCACACCTACAGTAGAGAAAATGATAATAGCCAAGCTCAGCAAGAGACCAAAACGTGAGTTACAACAAACTTTTACAGTTAGGGAGAGCAATATCGGCCTCAAGGAAACCTAGCTGTTTCACTATTACTGCAATACCCTAATCTCAAGGACAATCAGAAAGATTCACAGATTGTAGCCAGGCAGAAATGCATACACAGAAGCTTACTGGCTTTACAATTGAAGGGTTAAAAAAAGTCTTTAAAATAAACCTATTTACGCTGGGAGCCCACTGGCATGAGCCGCCCATTCAGAAAGCAGGAGCCACACAGGGAAATGCCACAGGCAACTATTCCAGCCAATGATGCCTCCAACTGTCAGTTCCTTCATTACTGCTCACAACTGAGGAGATCCCTCTGGCTACCATTACAGAGCCCCTTTTAACTGGTTTTCCATCTATTCCTGAATTTTAAAGCTGACTGGCACCAATTTTCTTGCCCATCAGTTCTACTGCAGAGGGTGATACTTTATGGGTTAATGATCTGGTATTTCTCTATTTTCCGTACAGAAACTTTGCCCTGGCTACCACAAACCCCATGAAAGGTCTCTGTGGTGCTTCTGCTTGGTAGCGTCTTGAGGCAGGTAGCCTTGCTCGCCTCAGACTGTCCTCAAACGTACTCTACACTGATAGTTTTAGACTCCACACTTGGCCTGTTGTGCATATGCCAGACTCCAGCGGCTTAATTCGTACTGCAACCTGACTGGTGTTGATGTGTGTGTCGTGGTTTGCGCTGGAGTTTACAAGCTGTGGAGACTGAGCTTCACCGAGAACACCTTAGAACAGCTGCCATGGGAGGACGGTGAGGACTCCTCTTCCCTATGCCAGTGCACTGAAGAAACAGCATTAAGGAAACACCTGTGCTGAGGCAGTCTCCCTTGAGGAGAGGGTAGCAGAAAGTGGTCAATGTGGTGGACAGATCAGTGTCCTCCCTCATGCTAACGAGCAAAGGGGAAGGGTGATGAGTAGCTTGAACCATACTATGGATGTTGTCCCATGGCCATAAATGCATTGGGAATACCCAACACATGCATTAGAAAAATCTCTTTGACCCTAGAGATCCTTGTGGAAGCAAGCAACACTGGGACGTCTGCAGGCGACTTCTAGGCCTCTCTGATAAACAGGCCAGTGTAAAGCTATTATAGCTTACTGGATCCTTCTCTTTCCTGAACTTCTGCTAGGGCCCTTCCTAGTTTAGGTACTGTATTTAAATCATATGGAAGTTGTCTTCCCCAGCAGATGCAAAAGGTGTTCCATCAGGCAGTCCAGGGAAAATATCCAATTAGGAATAGGTTTACAAACACTGCCCATCCAGATTACAGTGATCAGATGTGTTCACCTGTGCTGCAGAGCCCACACAGACATACGCTATACCCAGGGATCCTGGCAGCTTTGTTAATGAGAACACCCCAAATTTTGGAGAGGAGGGCAGTCCCCGGTGCTCTAAGGACTTTCAGACACTGGGTAATCCAGAGAACGATCCCCTCACTAACATGGACAATCAGCCCACTGCACTGTGTATAAGGGAAACATGGCTGCAGACAGTTGGAGTCCATTAATGATATAATCTCATGAATACTTTCTTAATCGGAAAGTATTGGATTAAATCTTTCTCCAGTGGGAATACAAGAGATGGATCTCCTAGGCTGCCTGTGCAGATTTCTATTCTTGGTTTTAGGAAGAGACTGTTTTAGCATGGAACACTTCTCTCCATTGGGGAAGGAGACTCCTCGCTGCTTTTCCATCCGTGATTAGGTTGCAATGGTCCTGGAAAGAATTCAGGAGGAACTGAAGGATCCGATAACCCAACAGCCTTCCGTGGGCCAAGGAGGTCTGGTTCCTAATTCTGTGGCAGATACCCAAAGACGAATTTATCAGGCAAAGAGTCTAGCCTCAGATCCTCAATCAAAGCCAGTGCACCTCGCTGCCCCCAGCTTAGCAGCTCCGTCCCTGAGAAAAGACAGTTACCTTTTCCATAACTGGTGTTCTTCAAGATGTGTTGCTCATGTCTATTCCACAATAGCTGTGCATGCTCGCCATGTGCACCGGTGCTGGAAGTTTTCCCCCAAACAGTACCAGAAGGGGAGCCACCATAGTGACCCCTGGAGGGGCGCCTCCATGGCATGGTATAAGGGGTGCTATGCGCGCCCCCCACCTTCAGTTCCTTCTTGCAGGACAACTCCGACAGAGGGGAAGGACAGTGGGATGTAGAATAGACATGAGCAACACATCTCGAACACCAGTTATGGAAAAGGTAACTGTCTTTTCTTCAAGTGATTGCTCATATGTATTCCACAATAGGGGATTCCAAGCTATATCTGTTGGAGGTGGGTAGGAGTTCATAAACTCTCGGGACGGAGCACGGCCGAACCCGGCATCCTCCCTGGTCTGGGAGACGATCGCATGATGTGAGGTGAACATGTGAACTGAAGACCATGTGGCAGCCCTACAAATGTCCTGAATGGGGACATGGGCCAAAAAGGCAGACAACGAGGCCTGAACCCTAATCGAGCGTAGCCTCACAATTGGTGGCGGAGGGATTCTCGCCAGGTCGTAACTGGTAAAAAGCCAGAGCCCTTCTCACATCCAGCATGTGGAGGCGGTAATCCTCACTGGACACATGGGGCTTGGGAAAGAGGACTGGCAGAAAGATGTCCTGACTCATCTGATAGGTGGAGACCACCTTCAGGAGGAACGAAGGGTGTGGCAGGAACTGGACCGTATCTTTATGAAACGCTGTGTACGGGTGCTCGGAGGTCAGTGCCCTGAGTTCCAAGACCCGCTTAGCCAACATGATTGCTACCAGGAAGACTACCCTCCATGAGAGGTGCGACCAGGAGCACATAGCTAGTGACTCAAATGGGGGGCCCGTAAGGCAGGTCAACACCAGGTTTAGGTCCCACTGTGGGACTGGGGGCCTAACATATGGGAAGAGACGATCCAATCCCTTAAGGAATCGGCCAGTCATAGCATGGGAGAATACTGTGTGGCCCTGCACCGGTGGGTGGAAGGCTGATATGGCCGCCAGGTGCGCCTTGACTCTAAGTGAAGGAGATAGTCCAGAATCAGCTGGATTGGGGTAGCCACCAGAGAAACACCCTGCTCATCCGCCCATCTGGAAAACTGAGTCCACTTTGCCAAGTAGGCTCGGCGCGTGGAGGGTCGCCTGCTTTCCAAGAGGACGTGCTGAACCCCTTCTGAGCACATCCTTATCTCCTGGCCTAACCATTGAGCAACCACACCATGAGGTGGAGTGCCGCTAGGTTGGGGTGGAGGAGGCAGCAATGGGAGAGTAGGTCTGGGCGGGACAGCAATGGCCACAGCAAGGTGACTGCCAGCCCCATGAGGATCCCGTACCAATCCTGCCTGGGCTATGCCAGGGCAATCAGAAGGACCCGGGCCTTTTCTGTCTTTATCTTTTCCAGGACCTTGCCGATCAGCGGGATGGGGGAAAGGCATAGAGAAACTGGCCTGACCAGGACAGGAGGAAGGAATCTGAGATAGCGCCCCGTCCCAGCCCCCCTGGAGCAGAACCGGGGATAGCGACAGTTCTGCTGAGTCACGAACAGGTCCACCTGGGGAATTCCCCACACTTGGAAAAGTCCATGCACCACCTCTGGGTGAAGAGACCACTCATGTTGAGAGGAGAAGTCCCTGCTCAAGCGATCTGTCCGTGAGTTCCGGGCGCCTGGTAGGTGGTAGGCCAGTAAGCAGATGCTGTGGGCTATACAAAAGTCCCACAGCCTGAGGGCTTTGTGGCAGACGATCGGGCCCCGCCTTGCCTACTGATGTAAAACAGAGGCCGTGTTGTCTGTGAGAACCCTGACCACACGGCCCTCCAGGTGTGAGTGGAAGGCCATGCACACCAGCTGTACCACCCTGAGCTCCTTGACATTTATGTGGAGGGTCAGATCCTGAGCCGACCACAGACCCTGGGTCTGAACTTTCCTCATATGGGCCCCCATCCCAAGTTCGACGTGTCGGACACCAGTTTCAGCGACAGGGCCCTACTCCTGGGAAGGACCACCAACATAGGGGGGCAATCACTGGCTTGGGCACCATGGGGACCTTTTCCATCCTGTCCCTGGCCTGGGAGAACTCTGAGGCCAACCAGAGCTGGAGGGGCCTCATCCTCAGTCTGGCGTGACAGGCCACACATGTGCACGCCGACATGTGACCCAAGAGCTGGAGGCACGGTCTGAATGTGGTCTCCAGAAACCTTGTGACCGTGTTGGTAAGTCCCCTCAGGGTCTCGAACCTGTCTGGTGGGAGGAAGGCTCTGGCTGTCAAGGCATCCAGGACCGCCCCGATAAACTCTATGCATTGAACCGGGACTAATGTGGACTTGGTGTTGTTTACCAACAGGCCCAAAGTGGTGCACATGGACAGAAGGAGCGCCACATGATCCCGCACCTGCGACCAGGAGCTGCCCTTGACCAACCAGTTGTCCAGATACGGGAAGATCTGGACCCCCCGGCGCCTGAGGTAGGCCGCTACCACCAACATACATTTCGTGAATACCCTGGGGGCAGTGGACAGGCCAAATGGGAGGAGGACCGTAAATTGGTAGTGTTCCTGCCCCACCGTGAAATGGAGGAAGCATCTGTGCCCCTCGAATATATGAATGTGGAAGTACGCGTCCTGCAGATCGAGGGCGGCGTACCAGTCCCTGGGATCCAGGGAGCGGATGATGGAGGCCAGGGAGACCATGCGGAACTTGAGCTTCACCATGTACTGGTTCAGACCTTGCAGGTCCAAGATGGGCCTGAGCCCCCCTTTGGCGTAAGGAAAAAGCGGGAGTAGTACCCCTTGCATTTGAACTCCCCCAGCACCGCTTCCACCGCTCCTAGGCCCAGGAGCCACCCCACCTCCTACTCAAACAGAGCCTCGTGAGAGGGGTCCTCCAGGAGGGACGGGGGCAGAGGGTGGTTGGGAGGGGTGGAAGTAAACTGGAGGGTGTAGCCCCGGGAGATGGAGTTGAGGACCCATCAGTCTGAGGTCAGCTACGACCACTCTGGGAGGAAAACACACAACCGATTGGAGAAGGAAACTTTACTGAGGGTGGATCCCTGATGAGAACTTGCAGGGAGCCCCTGGGCGTCCCATCAAAACTGCCTTTTCTCCGCCTACTTGCCCTTGGAGGACCCAGGCTGGGGGGCAGGTCGAGACTGCCTCTGTAGGCGCTTCTTGTTGTCCTGTGACTTTTTTGCGGTCTTGTATTTTGAGCGGGTGGCCTGGGCAGGAGTCTGCTGCGGCTTGAACTTAGGTTTAGCCGGAGCCGGAATACAGAGACCCAGAGTCTGGAGCGGCGTGCGGGAGTCTTTCAGGCCACGCAGCTTTGTATCCGTTTCTTCCGCAAACAGAGCTTTGCCGTCAAAAGGAAGGTCCTGCAGGGAGGTCTGCGCCTTGCTGGACAGCCCATAAAGCAGGAGCCATGGTGCCCTTCTCATGGACACCACAGAGGCCATGTCCATTGCATCCGAAGCTGCCTGCAAGACTGCCCTGGCAGCCGCTGTACCCTCCTCCACCAGCGCTTTGAACTCCTTCCTGTCGCACTCCTGGAGAGAATCCTCGAACTTGGACAGGGAGCCCCATAGATTGAACTCATACTGGCCCAGGAGAGCCTGGTGGTTCGCCACCCGTAACTGGAAGCTCGAGGATGAATAAATTTTTCTTCCAAATGAATCCAGCCTCCTTGAATCTTTTTTTTTTGGGGTAGGGGCCGGTTGGCCCTGCCGTTCCCTGTGGTTGACCGACTCGACCACCACGGAGTTAGGAGCAGGGTGGGTGTACAAGTATTCATGACCCTTGGCGGGCACAAAATACTTGCGTTCCACTCTCTTAGAGATGGGGGCCAATCAGACTGGGGTTTGCCACAGGGCATTTGAAATTTTTGCCACCCCTTCATGGAAAAGTAAGACCACCCTGCCCAGTGCCGAGGTGGACAGTACATTAAACAGGGAGTCCAAGGGTTCCTCCACCTCCTCTGCCTGGAGGTTGAGGCTTGATGCCATTCTCTTAAAGAGTTCTTGGTGGGCCCAAAAGTCCTCCTACAGGACGGAGGGAGGAGGAGCCGTAATTGCCTCATCAGGAGAGGGCGAGGAGGCTGATGGGGTACTTTGTGTGTCCACCGGCACCGGAGGATCCACCACCTGCTCAGTCTCCGGGCACGGGGCCGAGGATGTATGTCCCACCGACTCCTTCCTCATAGGTCTGGAGAGGGAGGCCGATGGTCCTTCTGAGGCTCCGATCACCGAGTGAGTCCCCACCGGGGGCTGCATCGGGGGCCACGGTGCCCACTGGTACCACTGGGCCGGCCACGGGGCCCGGTGCCACTACACCTACTGTGGCAGCGGCGGAGCTGTCTGTTCGGCTTGGCCCATCAATAGAAAACTTTGAATGGAGGCCGGGCTGACATACGACCTGTCACTGTCCCTGGACGGGGAGGAGAGGCGGTGCCGGGAGCGATGTTGACCATGGGACCGCGATCCCAACGTGAAGGACCAGTACCGTTGGTAATAGCTGCTCTGCGATCGGCTCCGGCGGGCGGGCCGGCAATTGACGCCTGGGGCTGCGGGGGCAGTGCCATGGCGGGGTCCTGGAGCGGGATGACAAACGGGAACGGTGTCGACATTCGTGTCATGACTGGCTGCAATAGCCCCTCCAAGACGAGGACCTTTGGCGTCATCTGCCTCAGTCCCATCGGTGTTCGTTCCTCGAGGCGGAGCGGTGCTGGGAGTCTCTGACAAATGGAACCCAGCCAGACAACCTGGTTGGAGTTGAGGACAACCCATGTGGACTTTGCACAGAACGGTTGCTGGGCGGCAAACAGCGTCAGGAACATTCCCTTGACCGAGACCAGTACCGAGTCAGGGCAACTGCGGAGATCCCAGCGGTGGCTTGCCTCTGGAGTGTGGGGCCGACATCAGCGGTGCTCCTGGTACCGGCATGGACATGACATCCTAGGCCACTTGCAAGGCCTCCGGTGTGGAGGGCATCCGGACATCTGGGGAGGCCCGCTCCAAATGAGCCGGGCTACTTCGCTCGACTTGAGTCGGAGGCCTAGAGGCTGGTGGGGGATCGAGGACTGTCCAACATGGGTCTAGCCTCTGTCCCAGGTTTACTCCGGTGCTGCGGCGAAGGCGGCCTCTTCCTAGCCTTCTTGGCATGTCCCGCGGACAGGGAGCGGTGCCAACTAATTGATGGCTCCAAAGGGTCGCTGCACACCTACACCACGGAGCACAGTGCTGACTCGGAGCGGTCCTCCAGAACTGGGGTCAGCACCAACTCTATCAGAGTAGCCTGGAGCCTACTGTCCCTTTCTCTCTTGGTCCGAGGCTTAAACTACTTGCAAATCTTGCAGCTATCACTGAGATGGGTTTCCCCCAAACAGTACAAATAGTCTGCGTGCGGAGCACTTTACTGGCATACGTTGCCTACAAGTGTCGCACGACTTAAAACTCTTAAAACCCGGGCACTCTAGCCAAACTAAACTAATCAATTAACCAACTACAGGTACCACACACTGAATGAACAAGCCGTTCTGGGGACGAGCTACAGCAAAGCTGGAGCAGAGCAGTTCCGGAGCACCTACACTGGGGGCAAGAAGGAACTGAGGGTGGGGGGAGCGCACAGCACCCCTTATACCGCGCCATGGAGGTGCCACTCCAGGGGTCGCTAGGGGCACTCCCCTATGGGTACTGCTAGGGGAAAAACTTCCAGCACCGGTGCATGTGGCGAGCACACACACCTCTGGTGGAATACACATGAGCAAACACTCGAAGAACTCGGCTCATGAAAAGGCAAAGACCTCCAAATAAGTGAGGCCAACCTGCAAGTCCCTCCACTGTGCATGTAAAGGTTTACAGCAGGGTACAAACAGATCTTATTCCTAGTAGCAGTGTCTTCAGCTCTAAGAGCTGCTAAGTTTCAGGTACTAATAACCAGCCTTAGAGGAGATTTTACAAGGATAAGTCTGATTCATCACAATGTCTAAGTTTTATCCACATGGTGGTGTTAGTGTTCTAACCTTAATAAACCTATCATACTGTCAACAAACTGTTCATGCCACAGGACTATCCCAGCGAGGCCCTCCTCCACACTGTCAGAAGCAGTTAAGTCTGAAGAGTTCTACTTGAAACAGATTAGAAGCACCACAGTTCACGCAACTCTTAGTTTACTAGATACCAGTTCTTAGTGTATGAAGACTTCTATCGCATTCCTCACTATTATGGCCTAACTCATGTTTCCCTCATATCATAAACATTTTTTCCTGCCAATCTCAGGGATGCTGCAGTGTACAGAGGTTTGCACTCTAGCGATGATTCACCCTACATAAAAGGAATGGGTCTCCATTTAAGTTTCCACAAAATAGGGGAGCACAAGTTCTCTCACCTCCTAAAGTTTTTATTTAATTCAGGAACTTTCTTATTCTGAGCTAGCTAAGGTGGCTATTTTGTTCAACTCATCCTCAAGTATTTCTGTATTTAGACTTCATGCTTGTCTGGAGGTTTCTCTCCTTCCCCCAAACAAATCACCAATAAAGCTAAATTCTGGCTTACTTAATATGGCCTTTTATCACTGCCTGTGTGGTTCTTTGTTTCCATTTGAAACACCCCTTGACCTACTTATTTTCCAAGACTGGGAATCCTATGATAATAGCATATTTAAGGAAACAGAATTACAGGTAAGTAATTTATCCTTCTTTAAAAGACATCTCAGAATTCTCTTATCCACCACCCCTCTAATAGGGATTCTGAATTTTCTTCCTCCCTGGAAAGTGAATCTACCATTGAGACTGTGTGTGTGTTAGTGTTTTTATGGAGGTGCTGACCAACTCCATAGCTAAGGCTAAGTTCCATTTTGCACTTAAAGCAGAGATTCAGACTTTGTTTTTATGAAAAAATACAACCCCCCCCCCAAATTTGTGTGCTTACTTTGAGTACAGAATGAATTAATTGAAAACTAGTCCTTTAAGAAATTTAGCACCTACGTCAGGCTTTTATTTTCCTGGATGTTAACAGAATTACACAGACACTTCAAACTTTCCATGTAGTTAAAATTAATTGAATTTATCCAGCATTTTGCAACCCTTAACTTGTAGCCTCAGCTTTGTTCTGTGGATGTCCCCAGTCATTAGCCCAACACCACTCTTAGCTTCAGACATCCCAACTGAAATCAACAAAGTGTGTGTGTGGGGGGGGAAGCAGGAAGGTCCCCCCAGAGGAAGAAAGCGTCAAAGAAGATAATCCCTCATTTGCGTTGACTCAAACGAACAACAGCGTTGCCATTAGGGACATCAACTGGCTCACTGAGGCTCATTTTCAGTAGAAACATCCGGATTCACTGGGATTGTGAGCAGAATCTTCTGATGTAGGCAGAATGCCATTAGCTACCCAGTCAAGTGCCCAGAACAGCATGGCAAAGGCACATTAATGTCAATTCCCTACCATGGCCCGCATTCATACTCACCTATCCTGCTCAGGGTCAGGGTTCATGGAGCACACCCAAGTATCCGGGTATTCCTTCTCCACGGAGCTCAGCTGGAATGGGAGGGTCCGCCATTTCAAACACATATCTGTTACACAGAACACACTACACAGTCAGCACACAGATTCTAAGCCATCCACATAGCCTGTCCTCCGGGTCCACAGCAAGCACATTTGGCTGTTGAGGACCTCACGACTTCCCAGGGCATTAGTCTGGTGACAACAACCCTTTCCAGCTGCTGGAGCACTTGGCATCAGGGACCACCTTCCATCTCCCTCCAAGACACTCCACTGTGTTGCAAAGTTTTGTTTTCTTTTAAAAAACAAAACCATAAAAATAATTGAAATGGTGATCAAGAAGGCTGAGACCAGTTAATGCCCAGGGTCTCCTTTAGTGACAAGAAAGACAATTGTGTGGGATGTTCCCATTTGATACTCAGGCTATTCCCACTTATAGGGAGGGAACACTCCCAAAGGTCCTAGAAAATGTAGCACGGGGGGTGGGGGGGGAGGAGGAAGGCGAGAACTGAAGTGCAGTTCTGTCCTAGTGAGGGATTGTAAAAATGGCCCTGTGCAGCTTTATGTTCAGCCCCTCTGTGATGACTACTCCGTATTCCCAGCTTAAAGATAAGACTATTTAAAAAAAAAACAAAATTTAAACTGCCAGCCTCAAAATCTCTCTGGGCTCTGAATGTCTAGCTTGTGCATCGTCACCAGGAAGATATCTGGTTATGAAGCATGAGTCAGAAAAGCATCCAGCTCCCAGAGCTGTATTGGCTTTGTTGGGTAGCAGAAAAACTAACTAGCTATCTCCTGCCCATGAGCTGCTTTGCCTTCTGAACAGTAGTTTCTATTCCCTAGCCCACATGGCAGAACAATCTCCTAATCCCAGCCACCCTGCTCCCTCTGCCTGGTAGAGACGCACCGCACTGAATTGTGGTGGGGATCTCCATGGCTCGTCGGCGTTTGTAGCGCAGATCACTTGAGGGAGGTTGGTTCCAGTTTGCTGATAAATAGCCAAATTCATCCCAAAACTTGATTATACCTCTCTGGGCTGAAGAAAAACAGAACAAGAACATTCATCATGCTGCCACTATCAGCAGCATGAATATGAAGTCCTCCTTCTCTGGTAAGCTCTACCCCCTGTCCCACCAGCCACCCAGAGTCCCCTCCCCATCCCTGTCAAGTTGTGAAGCCTCATTACCAATAGCAACATCCTTCCAGTACTGAGCCAAGTGGTCCCCCATCGCCCTCAGCAAGTGTCGATACTCTTTAGCATCTGCAAAGTCCTGTTTATTGTGGGTGGGCTCCAGAACCAAGTAGGGTATGTCCACAACTCCTACCACTCCACCACATGCCCTGGGGGTGAGAAACAACTGTAACACTGTACACTGTTAACACCCACCAAGATACTTGTCCAAGGCAGCAGCATTGAACCACCACCAGTACCAATCACCGACTGCAACCAGTTGGCTCACGGAGTACCTCCTGCAGCAATATGCGTTTCAGACAGTGAAACCCCGGTGCTGCTTTTTCCAATATTAATATAGTATCAACCCCTTAACACCACAGATTTAGGGCTGTATTCTGAAGAAAGTTTTCTAGTGTGAAATGTCCACACCTGGGGGAATTCTGTGCCAAAAAATTAAAAATTCTACACAATATTTTAAACTTCTGTATATTTTATTTGTCAAAAATAACACAATATAATCATCAGGAGTCCCAGTCACCGTGGGGCTAACAGCAGGAATATGGCTGGGCTGTCATTACTGTTCCCTGCACGCGTGGGTTGCCATTATTTTTTCCCCCACACAGAAATCAAATTCTGCAGGAAAAAATAAAATTCTGTGGGGAACATTAATTCTGCACAAATTCTGCATTGCGCAGAATTCCAGCAGGAGTAAATGTCTTTGTTTTCCTCACTGTGCACAAAAAGGGATCTTTGCTTTCAAGTACTGAATGTTCAACTAGCCCCAATAATCCTGCCTTGCCCTAAGGGTTAGTCTTCTTAGTGACAGAGAAGTGGTTAGTAAGTAGTGAGGAATTGTCAACTTTCATTTGGCACCTCTGGGAAGGGCTCAGTACCAAATGCTGGCAGAGCAGAAAAACCTTATGTCACTGCAGGGCAAACTCCTGTCTCTGCATGCAGAACTTCATTTTTACTGGGAAATCTGGGGCTTTAAATTACAAAATAAAACAAAACAGACTATGACTGTGGCTGATACTGAGTGACTGTACTGTATACGGAGGGAATGGTTCATGCTGCCTCCCTAGCTCTGTTGTATAAGCTAATTTCAGTCCTAAGCCAAGGGAACTCTGACGATTTCTGAAAGGAACTCACATGCCACCCTCCAGCTGTGGGCCAACCTTCTCATACATCTTAATCAGCCGACTGCAGTTATAGATGAACATGCCATCCAAATCCCGCTGTTCGATATTCACCCCGAAGATGAAGTTCAACTCTTTAGGCTCTTTCAGTGCCCTGGAACAAGAGGCAGCAAGAATCAGAAACCTCCATGGTATACAGAGAAGAAACCTCCCCCTACCCCCAGCCCAAGTGACCTAGACCAGCTCTTTGAAACATCCAGGGATGCTAAACCAACAGCCATAAAATGCCCACTACTTCTGTCCTTATGTATTTCCTGATGTCACTGTTTACATTTTTTAAAAATTATTTACTGAATTCAAATTACAGGTTACATTTTGCAACACTGACACGTACATTTGTTGAGCTAACTATAGAACTGGCACATCATACTTTTTGACGTTTTTTGAAGGGGTCATGGTTCTAGCTTCTGGTCCAAGTATTTTTCTTTTAAGGTATCAAGGCAAAGGAGTTAGATTTGATCAGAGTCTGTAACTTGTCTATATGTTTTGTAGCAGATTATGCCCTTTAATGGTAACACATTCATTGTTTCATGATTTGTGGCTTGCAGAACATGCTAACTGTGCTTTGAAGGCAAAACTGGACTCAAATGTTTCAGTACATACATAGCATTATACCCGACAATTTTAGTACATAGCCCTTGGATTTCCTGGGGATGAGGGCTTACATTATTATGGATACTTATTTTGGAATACCGTTCCAACAGATTTTAAGCTGCAGACATACCCACACAGCACACAGAGCAGAGCTCCTTTCTAGGCATTATGGGCCAAATTTTCAGGAGAATTCCACTTCCATATAGGTACTTAAATAAAATGCATAGATTTTCAGCAAGCAGCTTCAGTGAAAATCTGTCTCCAGTTGTAACTGCTGAGCACTTTTGAAAACGTGACCCCACATCTTTGACTACTGGGGATTATACCGATTGGCATGTAGAAAAAAAACGGTTACTCACCTTCTCGTAACTGCTGTTCTTCGAGATGTGTTGTTCACGTCCATTCCAATCAGGTGTGTGCACACTAGCCGGAAGATTTTTCCTTTAGCAGCATCCGTAGGGTCAGCCGGTGCCTCCCGGAGTCACGCCTTCATGGCGCCTAATATGAGGCCCTACCGACCCACCTTAGTTCCTTCTTACCGGCTACTCCGACAGAGGGGTAGGAGGGTGGGTATTGGAATGAACATGAACACCACATCTTGAAGAACAACAGTTACAAGAGGGTGAGTAACTGTTTTTTCTTCTTCGAGTGCTTGTTCCCATCCATTCCAATCAGGTGACTCAAAAGCCCAAGTTTAGGAGGTGGGGTCGGAGTCATCCACTGATTGTAGCACCGCTCTCCCAAAGGCCGCATCGTCTCTGGCTTGCTGGGTGATTGCGTGGTGAAAGTGTGTATGGAGGACCACGTTGCTGCTCTGCAGATTTCCTGGGTGGGAACCTGCGTCAAGAATGCTGAAGAGGAGGCCAGAGCCCTGCAGGAGTGCGCGGTGATTGAAAGAACGGGCACCTTTGCCAAGCGGTAACACTCCCGTATCCATGACATGATCCATGAAGAGCTATGTTGAGCGGAGACAGGAAGACCTTTCATTCTGTCCGCCACTGCCACGAATAACTGCTCCAATTTTCTGAACAGCTTCATTCTCTCCATGTAGAATGCTAGCACTCTGCGGACATCCCTGGAGTGCAGCTTAGGGTAGAATACAGGGAGGAAGATGTCCTGGTTGATGTGAAATTGTGAGACAACCTTTGGGAGAAAAGCCGGGTGAGGCCTGAGCTGAACCTTGTCCTTATGGAATACAGCGTAAGGGGGCTCTGATCTTAGGGCCCTGAACTCAGACACCCTCCTAGCTGAGGTTATCGCTACCAGAAACGCCACCCTGTCTGAGAGATAGAATGGGGAGCATGTCACCAAGCGCTCAAATGGCGATGCCATAGTCTGGAAAGGACCAGATTGAGGTCCCAAGCTAGGACAGGTTGTCGGACCCGCTGATATAGCCTGTCGAGACCTTTAAGGAAACGGTTGACCATTGGGTTAGCAAAGACCGAGAAGCCCTCTGCGCCTGGGTGGAAAGTGGAGATGGCCACCAAATGAACCCTTATGGACGACATGGACAGCCCCTGCTGCTTGAGAGGGAGAATATAGTCCAGTATAAATTGCACCGAGGCGAGCGTCGGGGACGGAAGGTGCTGCACCAACCAGATTGAAAATCTCTTCCACTTGGCAAGGTAGATAGCTCTTGTGGAGGGTTTCCTGCTGCCAAGGAGAACTGGTCTGACCTGATCAGACCAAGAGAGCACCACTGTGTTCAGCCATGCAGCTTCCATGCTGTGAGGTGGAGCAACTCTAAGTTCAGATGTTGGAGGCAGGTGTGTTCCTGCATTATTAAGTCCGGGAACAGCGGCAGGGTGACCGGGGTTTCCATGGACATTTCCAGGAGTGATGTGTACCAGTGCTGGTGGGGCCAGCTTGGAGCTATCAATATCACCAAAGCTTGGTCCCTGCGAATCTTGAGGAGCACCTTGTGAACAAGAGGGACAGTTGGGAACGCATATAGGAGATGACCTCCCCATGGGAGGAGGAATGCGTCCGTGATTTAGCCCGGGCTGTGACTGAGGAAGGAGCAGAATCGCTGACACTTCCTATTGTGTCACTTATTAAACAGGTCTATTTGGGAAAAGCCCCATCGATGGAAGATTGAGTTTACTACGTCCAGGTGAAGGGACTACTCGTGGCCATGAAACGACCTGCTGAGACAGTCCGCCAGCTCGTTCTGTATTCCAGGGAGGTACAATGCTTGGAGGTGTATTGAGTGCTCTACACAGAAGTCCCACAGCACAAGTCTTCCTGACACACGGGAGAGGAGCGTGTACCCCGTTTGTTGGTGTAAAACATTGCCGTGGTGTTGTGTATCAGTCCTGACAGACACACATCTCCCTGCTAGGTGGGTTCTGAAAGTCTGGCATGCCAGGCACGCTGCTCTCAGTTCCCTGACATTCATGCGTAGAGCGAGTTCCGCCTGAGACCAGAGGCCTTGTGTTCTGAGGTCTCCCAAATGTGTCCCCCAGCCCAAGTCTGACACGTCTGTCACTAGCAAGAATGATGGGTCAGGGCTAGTGAAGGGGACTCTTGCACCTACCACCTGTGGGTTGAGCCAGCACAGGAGGGAGTCAAGTGCTGGGCGAGGCAGGGTTATAATCCTGTCCGGACTGGCCAATACACTGACACTAGCCACAACTGAAGTGGTAGAAATCTGAGTCTAGCACACTGTACTACAGAGATCAGAAACGTTTGGCATGCGGCCCGCCAGGGAAAGCCACTGGCGGGCAGGGCCGGTTTGTTTATCTGCAGCATCAGCAGGTTTGGCCGATCACAGCTGCCACTGGCCGCGGTTCACTGTCCCAGGCCAATGGTCAGCTCCCAGACTACTGCACTGGGCAGCACAGCATGGGGAAGAGGTGACCAGCCCTCTGTGGAAAAAGAAGTGGTTCAGGACTATTTAGAAAAGCTGGACGAGCACAAGTCCATGGGGCTGGATGCGCTGCATCCGAGAGTGCTAAAGGAGTTGGCGGATGTGATTGCAGAGCCATTGGCCATTATCTTTGAAAACTCATGGCGATCAGGGGAAGTCCCGGACGACTGGAAAAAGGATAATGTAGTGCCCATCTTTAAAAAAGGGAAGGAGGATGATCCTGGGAACTACAAGCCAGTCAGACTCACCTCAGTCTCTTGAAAAATCATGGAGCAGGTCCTCAAGGAATCAATTCTGAAGCACTTAGAGGAAAGGAAAGTGATCAGGAACAGTCAGCATGGATTCACCAAGGGCAAGTCATGCCTGACTAATTTAATTGCCTTCTATGACGAGATAACTGGCTCTGTGGATGAGGGGAAAGTGGGGGACATGTTGTTCCTTGACTTTAGAAAAGCTTTTGACACGGTCTCCCACAGTATTCTTGCCAGCAAGTTAAAGAAGTATGGGCTGGACGAATGGACTATCAGGTGGATAGAAAGTTGGCTAGATTTTCGGGCTCAACGGGTAGTGATCAATGGCTCCATGTCTAGCTGGCAGCCGGTATCAAGTGGAGTGCCCCAAGGATTGGTCCTGGGGCCGGTTTTGTTCAATATCTTCATAAATGATCTGGAGGATGGTGTGGATTGCACCCTCAGCAAATTTGCAGATGACACTAAACTGGGAGGAGAGGTAGATACGCTGGAGGGTAGGGATAGGATACAGAGGGACCTAGACAAATTAGAGGATTGGGCCAAAAGAAATCTGATGAGGTTCAACAAGGACAAATGCAGAGTCCTGCACTTAGGACGGAAGAATCCCATGCACCGCTACAGACTAGGGATCGAATGGCTTGGCAGCAGTTCGGCAGAAAAGGACCTAGGGGTTACAGTGGATGAGAAGCTGGATATGAGTCAACAGTGTGCCCTTGTTGCCAAGAAGGCCAATGGCATTTTGGGATGCATATGTAGGGGCATTGCCAGCAGATTGAGGGATGTGATCGTTCCCCTCTATTCAACATTGGTGAGACCTCCTCTGGAATACTGTGTCCAGTTTTGGGCCCCACACTACAAGAAGGATGTGGAAAAATTGGAAAACGTCCAGCGGAGGGCAACAAAAATGATTAGGGGTCTGGGGCAAATAAGTTATGAGGAGAGGCTGAGGGAACTGGGATTGTTTAGTCTGAGGAAGAGAAGAATGAGGGGGGATTTGATAGCTGCTATCAACTACCTGAAAGGGGGTTCCAAAGAGGATGGCTCTAGACGGTTCTCAGTGGTAGCAGATGACAGAACAAGGAGTAATGGTCTCAAGTTGCAGTGAGGGAGGTTTAGGTTGGATATTAGGAAAAACTTTTTCACTAGGAGGGTGGTGAAACACTGGAATGCGTTACCTAGGGAGGTGGTGGAATCTCCTTCCTTCGATATTTTTAAGGTCAGGCTTGACAAAGCCCTGGCTGGGATGATTTAGTTGGTGACTGGTCCTGCTTTGAGCAGGGGGTTGGACTAGACGACTTCCTGAGGTCCCTTCCAACCCTGATATTCTATGATTCTATGAATGAGAGCTGCGGAAAGGGCGGCCAACACATCCCTCGGCTC